TGTTTAGAGCTAAAAATCACATGAATAATTATTAATTAGCAAATTAAGAACTGCACGACATTTAGAAAATCAAAATGCATGAAAGTAAAACGGAAAAAATTAAAAGTAAAACCTGATGTCCATGCCTCAATTCCAACATCTGATGTGTGTTCCTCTGAAAATGTCTCGTCGACTTCTCTTGAAACATTTCCAAGATTATGTTCTTCGGGATAGCAAGGCACTATATCATCCTTTTCTAAGAGAGTAAACATGTTAATAGGCATTCCCTTAGTATTTCTGTAACTTGCAAGCATGTTTCTCACGTCATCATCATCAAATTAAACAAATTAGATGTTTGATTACTTACCCTAACATGTATCATTACTAAAATTAAACAAATTATTTTATTAATTAATCTTATAATTATTAATATATATGTATAATTTATTTAATTTTTCACATTTAAAAGATAAATTACATAAATTATGATGAAGAAAATTAAATTCTACATATTTAAGATAAATAATTTGAATTATAAATGATGAATAAGATAAATAATATTTACATAGTGGGGTTGTCACACAAGCTAACCATAGTCTCATGTGATTCACTAAGTTCAATTTTTATAAGTAAGCTTATATTCTTATTATAAACAATACTAAAAGATTGTGAATTAAATCACAAGTGGTTTGAATTAATTGCAATTGACACCTTGAGAACAATTTACTAAATCACAAGGAGATGAAACCAACTTAAATCCTACCATTGCTAAGTCCGTAATGAATTTTTTATTTCTTGTTCATAGAATGAACTTGCAAATTGATCTCCAACTTATTGATTAATGATGTATTTGAGGGTCCTGCTCCTTGGTGAGTGGGCGACGGTCCCGCTCATTGGTGAGAGGGTGGGGATGAGGGGGCAACGTGCCCTTTACGGTAAGTCCAATTAGTAATTAGACTTGTTATTAGATTACTAATATTTGAGCTTGGGTTGGGTTAGATTCAGGTTAACCCAAATAAATAAGGTTTTCTATTATATATATATATACTCAAAAGTAATTATTATTTATTAAAGTGGTCTAAATATTTGATTTAGTTATGCCCAAAGTGATAATTACTATATATATATTTCATCACAATTCCACTAGACGTCTAGATCCAATAAAGTATTATTATTAAATAAAATATTATATGAATACTTAAAAGCAATTATTATTAATTAAAATGGTCTAGGGTGCGTTTGGTTTAGTATTTTGGATAGGATTTTAGGGATAGTATTGGGTTATTGGATATGGGAGTATTACGAGGTAAATTTTAAAAATTTGTAAAAAAGCTCTTAGGTTTACTAATTTAACTAAAGACCCTAATATATAAAATGACAAAAACACCCCCACCACCTGCAGTGTCAGATTCCGACCACCACCATCAGAATCTAGCCGAAAAATTTCGTTACGGCACAGACTAGTCGGATCTGTGCCGTAACACGTCGTTATGACCTTTTCCGGCTAGATCCATGGTGGATCTGACCGGAAAAGGCCAGATCTACGGTCTGTTATGGCCGTCGACGACCGGAAAAGGCCGAACGAGGGCCATCTTTGGCCGTCAGTGACGGCCAAAGATGTGGCTGTCGTTTTCGGTCAACGACGGCCATTTTTTTGGCCATCGCTGACGGCCAGATCTGGCCTTTTCCGGCCAGATCCGTGGTGGATCTGGCTAGAAAAGGCCACAGCGGTGAACTTTCGGCCATTTCTGGTCGGAAGTTAGGCCGTTGTACAGATTCCGGCTATCACCGACGGTGGTTGCAGGAATCTGACAAGTTGGGTTGATGGGGGTGTTTTTGTTAATTTTTCAACTTTTTTTCAGGAGGTATTTAGTGAAATTAATAACCTTATGGGGTTAAAAAGTAATTAAAAAAATAGGGTAATATTTTTAGAATATTGTACCAAACATTATTTGGAGAATATGATCCAGAATGAGGATAAAAATATTAAACCAAACATGCAGCTAAATATTTGATTTAGTTGTGCCCAAACGCCAAAGTGATAATTACTATAGTTTATATATATGTATTTTATATATAAATATTTCATCCCAATTCCAGTAGCTGTCTAGACTCGTTATTAAATAAAATATTATTAATTTAATAATTTGGAATAAAATATAGCATAAATGTGAGATTGGCAGCAGGAGGTTGACAGGTGAGATTAGACAAAACTTTCACCCTATTCCACTAGACATCTAGATTCAATAAAATATTATTAATTTAATAGTTTAAAATAAAATATAACATAAGTGTGAGATATTTGAAGGTGGACATGTGAGAGTTGTACCATTAGATTAGACAAAGCGAAATTGATTTGGCAGCTCAAGATCAATATCAAAGATTAGGATCAGGATCTCACCATCTCGTGTGTATTAACATCAATTTCTTTTCTATTTTCTTTTTTTAATTCCCCAAAGGCCTCGGTTTTTGTTCACACTTGGCACTATTAGATTGGGTTTGAATCCGTTTGTTGAGTCCTTAATTAGCCAAATTGAATTGAATTGAGTCGACATTTTACTTATCTGAATTGTTGATTTCAAGAAAAAATGTTAGTTAATAACAATCTCCACATCTTTTGCATTATCTTTACATCCATGTATTTTGTTTTGTTTTCTGTTTTCTGAATTTTGCTTTTATGATTCTGTCTCTTTATGCGTGTTGAAATTGCATTCATTTTGGTCAATATCTGATGTTTGTTAGTTTTTTATCCGTGTTTGGTTGTTATCGGTGTTTGGTTGTAGGAAAATAGCATTATTTATTCAATGATTATTAGTTTGTTTATGTGAAGATATGATTTGTGTGTTGGTTTTTAATAAGGTTTGTTTGTTTCTCGTGGAAAATATTTCGTGACTTTTAAACCATCCTGTGTTTAGACAAAACGAAATTGATTAGATTAGACAAAATAAATGTACATTAACATCTTGTGTTTTTTTTTTTCTTTTTTCAGAAAGTTCATCACCTGTTTGTGAAATATCTTCAATGAAATTTTGTGTGTATTTATCTTTGATAAAAGAATAAAAAAGATCAATTCAATCCCTGTAAATTGATTTTTTATTTTTTATTTTTTGCATTATCGTATCTAATGTTTCAACTTCATCTATTTTTCAAAAACTTAAGTTATGAATGAAGACAGTCGTGCACAAAAAGCAAGTGGTCATGAAAAGAATATGTTGTGAATGTATTTATGTAATAGTTTGATCCCTCGGGAATCTACCTTAAAAGATAACTGGTTTCTTGTTTGCAATATACTAATTAAATAATATAAGATAGAAAGTGTCCAAAAAAAATATATAAAAATTAGCAGAGTCTGATGACATTATTTAACTATTTATTGCAACAGACATGGAAAGAGATGAAAGCTAAAGCAGCAAGCTGAGTCTATTATCAAGTTAATAAAAAGCAGAGCAGTATGAAATTCGAATCAAGCATTTTGTATTGAAATTTTGAGTGTATCTATCTTTGATAAAGGAATGAAAAAGATATTATAGGTGGTGTATCTATCTTTGAGTGTATTGAACTTAGGTGGTGTGATCCCATGACCTTTGAATATTGAGTATGAGTTGCACGTGATATGTGAAGATGGTTGGAAGTAGGTTGCCTTTGGATTTTTTGGGGTTTGGGATAAACACTGTAGATCCAACTATATTGAGTAAGATAATCTATACATGGGATATGAAAATATTGTTTACAACTACAATTACATTTATAGTGAGGCCATCATGATCTTCAAAGCAACTCATGATTAATGGCACAATGTAACATCAGAGTATTGCAAGACAAAAAAGTGTTTGATTACGGGTAACAATTAAATTTTGGTGGTGTAGGATATTAAAATTGGTCGGCTTAGATACCTTGTTGCAAAGCAATTTCATCCATAGCAAAACAAAAGTCTCTTCTTATTCAGGCACATGTTTGCTTTTCTATCAATCAAACATTTAGTTATATATGGACACACTAGCATCCATCTATAAACAAAACAATATATACTATATATGTTGATAATCTTCTTTGTGGAACGTAGATTTGAGTGGATGACCTCTAAATTAATGTTTGTGTTTCACATTAGTTATTTTTCATTTAGTTTATTTGGATCAAGTAGTTATTTCATTTTTTAATTATTATATATTAATACTTAAACAGGATTGCAATGGACAAACAATGGATGCAATGTACATAGAGATTGTGTAATGAGTATAGGACATGAGTTCAAAATTTTCTTGACCTTGCTTTTAGTCACACAAACTTAGGTGCTGTGATCCCATGCCCTTGTATGAAGTGTAACAATGTTTTGCACAAAACAAAAGATGAAGTACATGGTCACTTGTTAATGCATGGAATCGTCAAAGGATATACTCGTTGGTTATATCATGGTGAATTCATCACTAAAGAGAAACATGTCCCTAATGACTTAAAAACAAATGAAAAAGATGATAAAATTGGGATGATTCATGATGCAGCTGGACCTAACCTAATGGATGCTATAATGCAAGATGTTTGTGTGCAAGACACTATCGAGCCTAACAATCCTAATAATGTTGAACTCGATGCTTCACCATTGGTTCCAAATAAATAAGCCTTTAAATTTCTTAAGCCATTAGAAGATGCCTAACAACAACTTTATCCTGGTTATGATGAGTTCTCAAAGTTATCATTCATTGTGGAATTATTTCATATTAAATGTCTTTATGGCATAAGTGATAAAGCAGCTGACTGCATAATGCAATTGCTTAAAAAGGCACTTCCTCGTGGTGAAAATTTACCAAAATCTTTTTGTGACGCAAGAAAGCTTATAAGAGATATGGGTCTTCACTATGAAAAATAGATGCTTGATTTGTGGTGAATCTAGATGGAAATCTGTTGAGAAGAATGTAGTTAATCCTAAAAAAGAATGGCAAGAAGATTCCTAGGAAAGTCTTACACTATTTTCCACTAAAACAAAGATTGCAAAGACTTTTATGCCATCAAAAACAACTTCGGATATGAGATGGCGTCATGAGGAGCGTTCCCAAGATAGCATTCTAAGACATCCAGCTGACTCTGATGCATGGAAATCTTTTGATATTTTACATCCAGGATTTTCTAGAGAGCCTCGTAATGTTAGACTTGGGCTAGCATCTGATGGAATCAACCCTTTTGGTAATATGAGTGTTTCGTATAGCACTTGGCCAGTAATTGTTAATGTATGTAATTTACCTCCTTGGATGTGTATGAAGCAACCCTATTGTTTGCTATCATTGTTAATACCCGGGCCTAAAGCTCCTGGGAGTGACATTGATGTGTACTTGCAACCTTTAATATAGGAGTTACAGGAATTATGGCATTATGGAGTTGAGACTTTTGATGCTTCAAAAAAGGAAAATTTTTGCATGCATGCTGCACTTTTATGGACAATTAATGATTTTCCTGCATATTCTAATTTGTCAGGGTGGAGTACTAAAGGAGCAATGGCTTGTCCTTCATGCATTGAGGAGACCCCATCTACTCGACTTAAATATGGTCGTAAGTTTTCTTACATGGGGGCTCATCGATTTTTACCTATGAATCATAAATGGCGAGAGAACAAGTCTTCCTTTGATGGAAAATTGGAGAAAAGGTTTGCTCCCAAGAAGATGTCAGGAGATGATGTGTTCAACCAATTGCAAATGCTTCAACATGTTATATTTGGTAAGGCTAAACAGAAGCAGATAAATGATAAAAATCAAAACAAGCTAAATTGGAGGAAGAAAAGCATTTTTTTAAATTGCCATATTGGAAAAAGAACTTATTACGTCACAATTTGGATGTCATGCACATTGAAAAAAATATATGTGACAATATCATAAGTACATTGTTAGATATTGAGGGGAAAACCAAAGACAACTTGAATGCTTGTCGTGATTTGAAGGAAATGGGTATAAGGAAGGATTTGCATCCAACTCAAAAGGATGGGAAGTGGTTTTATTTAGCAGCATGTTACACTTTATCTTCAGAGGAAAAAACTAAAATATGTAAGTTTTTAAAAAGTGTAAAGGTTCCTGTTGGATATTCATCTAACATCTCACGATGTGTAAGTGTTAAAGAGTGCAAGATAAATGGTCTCAGGAGCCATGATTCCCATATTCTTTTAGAAAAAATTCTTCCTATGGCAATTCGTGGAGTTGTACCTAATAATGTGTATGATGCTATAACTGAATTGAGCATTTTTAGAGAGTTGTGCTCAAAAGTGTTGAAAAAAGAAGCATTAGAGCGCCTTGAATCTCAAATTGTAATAACCTTGTGCAAATTAGAAAGAATCTTTCCACTAGCATTTTTTGATGTTATGGTGCACTTAATTGTTCACCTTGCAACTGAAGCAAAAATTGCAGGACTTGTACAATATCGATGGATGTATCCTATCGAGAGATAATATTTTGTTTTCATTATTTCATATATCTATTTTTATGTTTATAAGTGTGTGGTTATAATAAGTTATTAATTAGCTCAAGAAACATTTGTATAGGTACTTAGGAAAATTGAAGCGGTATGTTCGTAATAAAAGTCGACCAGAAGGTTCTATTGCAGAAGGGTACATTGTGGAAGAAAGTCTAATATTTTGGTCGAGATATTTAAATTGTATTGAAACTAAGCTTGATAAGTTGAGAAGAAATTTTGAAGGTAGTAATGTTGATTCAGGCAAAGGGTTATCTATATTTCATCATTGTGGATATCCTTTAACAAGGCATAAGTGTAGGTCAATTGAAAATAATGAATGGAAACAAGCCCATCTTTATGTGTTGAAAAATTGTGAAGAAGTGCAACCTTTTTAACGGTATGATAGTTTCCTTGTTCATTTTTTTATTTGGTGCTTAAGTTATTTTTTTTTTCTTTTTTTAGGTAGCGTTTGGTTCAGGGAATGTTATATTATTGAGGAATGTTATATTACTGGAAAGATAAATTACTAGAGAATCTTTAGAGAAATATGTTTGGTCGATTGGAATAAATTGATGGGTATATTATAACAATATGTTTGGTTGGGAGGATAAATGAGTGGGTATGTTATAGAGATTACTAAATTGCCCTCATTTTAAAATAATAATATAATAATATTATTATTATTATTTTATTCTATTATTTTTTAAATTATTTCTTTTAACCCCCCTATATTTGAAATTTTACCAAAACACCCCAACCATATACAACTTTAATTTGTAGGAAAGTCACCCCCGCTCACCCCAAACCACTGCCGGCAGCCACCACCACCACCGGAAGCCACTGTAATGGCGCACGACCAGCTAGATCTAGCTGGTCGTACATCGATCAGGCCTAATCCGACCAGATCTGGCCGTGAATATGGTCGTTTCATGGCTAGATCTGGTTGTTAACATGGCCATTTCACGGCCAAAGATGTGGCCGTGAAACGGCCATAGATCTAGCTGTGAAAAGGCTAAATCTTTGGCCATGAAACGGTCGCCGTTTCACGGCCAAAGATCTGCCCTTTTCATGGCCAGATCTATGGCGTTTCACGACCACTGATGCGACTAAATCAACCTTAGCAAGTGCACTAGTCGTGTTCAAGTAATAAAGTGATGAGTTTGAGTATCGTCCCATAGAGATCAAAGCGGTTATTTGTAATTACCTAAAACTACTTACACGTTATTTAAGAAAACGAAATCTTAGAGTGTAAAAATAACAGATTAAAAATAACTAAATTAAACAAATAAATAATGTGATGAACTTTGCAATATTAATGAAGTTAGGGTACAGATTTCCCCCTAATTATGCTTGACAATTACTCTTAATACCTGTTTATGCTATGAATTGGTAGGATTCTTCTAAGGCCAATTATCCTTATTCAGGCATAATATTCAACTTAATACAAATCCCTATTCGGTTACTCTGAAATTAAGAAGCATAAATTCATCAATCCCTTACGACTAATTCGCCCTATTCGGTTATGAATTAGATGGACCACAAATAAATCCTAGAATCTCTATTCGATTAATTCTAGTTTTAATATGTTGTGCAATGTTATTCCCATAGAACAATTATGAATATGAATTAAGCAATAAACCCTAACTTCTCTATTCGAAACATCATCAAGGTAATTAAATCAATCCAACATTCATAAAGCATTAAACCTAAACTCTTGCACAAATTCATAAACATAAATCTGGTATTAAGCATTAACATTTGTTCAAAACATAATTAGGGTTCCATCCTCCCCTAACAAAAGGGATTTACTCCATCCTAGAACAAAGGAATAGTTGAGAAAAAGGAAAACATAATCAGACCGAAAATAAATAAAAATCAAACTCTTAAATCTGATCTTCAGTCTTCAAGCCCAAAGAATGCGTCTTCTCCTCTCAAAAATATGCAAAATTCGTCCACTGACACATAATCTCAATAATACTAAATACCCAAAGAGTCATAAGTGAAAAAGGAAAGAAAAACTGATAAAAACGTGCTAATAGGTTCTGCCCAACCCTGGCCGTGGCCAAATTTAAGTCACCACAGCCTAGGCCGTGGTGCTACTAGTCTCTTTATTTTCTCTTGTTCCATCACCACGGCCATGGTGAACTACCAAGGCATGACCGTGGTCTTCAAGACTGAAGGGCAATCTCAACTTCTTCAAGTTTAAGTCCCAATTTCATTCCAATACTCCAATCTTCTCAATCAAAGCCTAAAAAAAAAACATAAAAGTTATTCAAATCAATAGGTAACCATTGATATCGCAAACTTACAAAAACAAAACATAAAAACAAAGGAAACAAATGAGAAGTTAACTAAACTAACATCAAAACAACCCTAAAAACACTAAATTATAACTTATCAACTCCCCAAACTTAATCCTTTGCTCGTCCCGAGTAAAGAAATATCAGAAAAAATAAACTCAGCAATCAGCAAGGATTCGAGCATTCCCAAAATCAAGGAAAATAAAGCAAACATGCTTTAAATAATATTCATGCTACCAAACATACAACCCAACTAATTGTACAACTCTAAACTTTCCTCAACCCGATCATGCCTCACTAAGACTTTATACTCAACCCCCTACTTATTTTCTTCTTTTTTTTTTTTTTTTTTCAATTGCTTCCTCAGATTGTCACATCACCTTTTTACACGAATGCACACATTTGTGATGAGTGCCCCCGGTTACTCAACAATGTCACAACACATAAAGTGCTTTGCATACTCATACTTCAAGCCACGATTTGACGCAAAAGTAAACATGGGGCTCATGAATACTCCTGGTTACTAAGAAGCTCGAAACAGCAGAGTAGTTCATTCAAAAACAAACAAATAAGCATAGTTACTTTATCTCAAGACTATATATATAGCTTTTTTTTTTTAGGGAGTGAAGACAAGCTCAGCTAGTACACAACAAAGTCAAGTAATAAACCAGATTTGCACAACCATCTAGAATTACGTACTCTTAAGCATTCCTAAAGATATGAGCATGTTTGAATCCTTTCAATGACTTGATACTACCACTACTCCAAATAATTACAAAGTTCATCACAAAAAGCAATTTTTTTTTCTTTGGGGATATCACAAAGTTTCGTTTGGGATTGTATCAAAAGCACAAGCATAATAACCACCACGCAACAAATAAAAATACAAACCAAAAACAAAAAAATAAACTAAACACTTCCTAAAAACAAACCCACCAAACAAAAGAAACAGACTATCAACAATGCAACATAAACCAAACAACAATGCAACACAAATCAAACTGCTTACTCCCCCAAACTTAAAGAATGCAATGTCTTCAATGCATGAAAAACAAAAACCAAAATAGAAAATATGGAAAATAAAAGAGAGAAACTTCCCTGAAAAAGAAGAGAATTTTTTTTTTTTCACATGGCCACGGCTGTGTAAACTGACACGGGGTACCCCATGGTGAAGACTGGAATCTGCAAGCTCTTTATCTTTTAACATGGCCATGGCTGTGTAAAATAACACAGGGTAGCCCATGTTTTATTCTGCTCAAAATTGTCTTCTTCTTCTATCACTTAAGCTTCCCTCAAACTTGTTCCTTGTTCCGACGATAACAAAACACAAATAAAAACAAAATCAAACAAAAATGAAGTAATTGTAAGAGAGAGAAAAGAAAAAAAAATTTAGTTCTAATTTAGAGTCGTTAGCTTGACTTTCTCCACTTTCTTCATTCAAGAAACTGGACGGACGCGGTGTTTGGATCTAAACGTCCTCCAACATAGTGCTTCAAACGGTGTCCATTAACTTTAAACGTTTCACCTGCCTTTCCATTGTGGATCTCAATTGCTCCAAAAGGTGTTACCTAAATTACCTCATATGGACCCGTCCATCTTGATTTCAGCTTTCTTGGGAAAAGACGAAGATGACTATTATAAAGAAGAACTTGTTGTCCTGGCTTGAACTCCTTTTTCACAATGTGCCTATCATGCCATCTCTTTGTCTTCTCCTTGTACAAACTAGCACTCTCGTATGCCCAATGATGAAATTCATCTAGCTCACTCACCTGTAAAAGACGTTTAGCACCTGCACTTTGCACATCAAAATTCAAAAATTTAGTAGCCCAATAAGCTTTGTGCTCTAATTCTACCGACAGGTGACATGCTTTTCCAAATACTAACCTATAAGGTGACATGCCTATAGGTATTTTAAAAGCTGTCATATATGCATATAAAGCATCGTCTAACTTTATCGCTAAAATTCGTTTTAGCTCTCTATTAGAGACCTCTCCTTGACCACTAGTTTGGGCATGGTAGGGAGTGGCTACCTTGTGTGTGACTCCATATTTTTTTAAGAGTGCATTAAATTGGTGATTACAAAAATGCTTCCCACCATCACTAATGATTGCCCTAGGAGTTCCATATCTAGTGAAAAGATTCCGCCTAAGGAATTGGAGTACTGTTTTAGAATCATTAATTTTGGTGGCAATTGCCTCCACCAATTTAGAAACGTAATCTACTACCACAAGTATAAAAGTGTTTCCATACGATGATGGAAACGGTCCCATGAAATCAATACCCCAAATATCAAAAATTTCACATACCAATATATTGTTTAAAGGCATCTCATCTTTCTTAGAAATATTACCTGTTCTTTGGCAATGATCACAAGAGGATACATACCTTTGAGCATCCCGAAACACAGTGGGCCAATAAAAACCTGATTGCAACACCTTTGCCGCTGTACGATTCGCCCCGAAATGCCCTCCAGTTTCTCTATCATGGCAATGACTCAAAATAGATCCAATCTCTTCTTCCGGCACACATTTTCGAACAACTTGATCTACACATAGTTTGTACAAGTAAGGGTCTTTCCACAAATAATATTTGACATCAGCCAAAAATTTCTTCCTTTGCTAGAATGTAAAATGCTTCGGGATCCAGCCTCCTGCAAGAAAATTAGCCAAATCAGCAAACCACGGAGATTTAGAAA